AAAAACAAAAAAAACAAACAGGGGCACCTGGGTGGCTCAGTCGGTTAAGCATCCGACTTCAGTTCAGGTCATGATCTCTCAGTTCGTGAGTTCGAGCCTGGCGTCAGACTCTGTGCTGACAGCTCGGAGCCTAGAGCCTGCTTCAAATTCTGTGTCTCCCCCTCCCCTGCTTGTACTCTGTCTCTCTCTCTCAAAAACAAAGCATTAAAAAAAATTTTTTTTAATAAATAAACATTAGAAAAATAAAAATAAATTCTAACACCACAGAAAATTAAAACAATTTTTCTTAACAGAAAAATTAAGAGAGACAGAGTGCGAGCAGGGGAGGGACAGAGAGACAGGGAGACAGAATCCAAAGCAGGCTCCAGGCTCTGAGCTGTCAGCACAGAGCCTGACGCAGGGCTCGAACTCACGAACCGTGAGATCATGACCTGAGCCGAAGTCAGACGCTCAACCAACTGAGCCACCCAGGCGCCCCTAGAGAAAATATTAAAGAACAATACAGTGCACCCCTGTATACCTACGGTTACCTGTTATCATTCTGCCATCTTGGCTTTATCTACCTATTTACCAATCTACCTATTTGCTTTTCCTCCTAAATCAAATGAAAGCTGCAACATCAGGACATTTCTAAATACTTTAGGATGTACCTCCTAAGGGCATTCAATCACAATATCATTATCAGGTCTGAAAAATTTAACATAAATACAGAAATATCATCTAATGTTAATTATGTTCACATCCCCTAAGTTGTCCCCAAAACGTGCATCATGGTTGGTTATTTGGGGGATGATCGAGGAGCTGAGCCAGCCTCTCTCCCTACATTTGGTTGTCATGGCTCTCAGGTTGCTTTAATCTAAAACAGCCTCCTGTTTTGTTGTTTTTTTAAATTTTTTGTCTTTCATGCTGCTGAATTAGGGAGTCGGAGCCAATTATATTGCAAAATGCCCCAAAACAGGATCTATCTAATAATCACTTCCCTGTGGTTAGATTCAGGTTGAACATTTCTGACACGACAATAGCACAAGGTGGTATTCCACACTGCTACATGACATCACCCTGGGAAGTATTTACGGTGAGCCTGTCTCAGTGCTGATGATGGTACCTGTCAGGTCCATGTCATGATACTCTGAAAACATGAGGCCATCCTTTTCCCCTAACCCCTAAACTCAATGGCTTTAGCGTCCTTGGATGACACATTAGTCACCATGGTCGCAGGTGGTGATCTGCCAAGTCCCATTCTACACTTATTAGTTGGTATTCTTTTTTTTTCTAAAGGAAACTCTCACTGACCCCTCCCCTTATGGGTCTCACTGTAGATTTATGGATTTTTTTGTTTTTAAACTGTGAAATAAAATGTTTTACTATCATTCTTTTTGGTGTTTAGATTATCCCCAAACTTGGCGAGTGGTGGCTGTCGTATTGTTTGACATCTCTACATTAAGCTTGCTTTCTGGCCCAACAAGACTCCCCAGGATCATTTCCTCAATAACCCTCATCTCCTTTTACTGAGAAATAGTAGTTAGAAGCCATGATACAGGACTAGGCATGCTCCTGCCACTGGGGTGTCACTGCTTTTAGGCCTTTTCAGTGGACAGAGCCCAAGGAATACTTTAATTTTGAACAATCGTGATTCCATCTGAAATCTCCAATTCAAGTACAGTCCAGGGCCCTTCCTCATCCTCCTCCTAGATTTCCATCTCCCTCTTCCCCTTGGTTCTCAAAAATAAGAATATATCCAAACATTTTCTTAACTGACAACATAACAAAAGTCTCACAATTATGACACCAAAAAGCTTTGAATTCTGAAACCAGTAGCTTTAACAAACTACTACCTACAACAAACCCACTGAATAAAGATTTCTTTGCAGTTCTTCCTGTTCTCAGAATGTGAGTCACTAAGGGTGTAATCAAAGCACAGGTCAAATCATTTACTTTCATTCTTAAGGAATTCTTATTTAACATACAAACTTTCTCTAAAAAATAGAATCCCAAATATGTACTTATGTAATTGTCTAAAGCCACTGAATAGAAAGCATTCCTCTTAAAGAAGAGATGGGTCCTATGTCTAATGAATACCACTGAACAATACTAGGAATGCATTATAAAAGTTCACTGATAGCATGCTTGATGCTCAAATTCTTTCTTTTACCTTCAATTTTTTCTTGCAGTACATCCTCTGAAAAGTCTGAAGCCAACGCAGCCAATTTACTCAAGCCAAGAAGGGTTTTTTTCTTTGCAAAGTAATGTGTTTCCATGTTTGCCAGACCCAGAAGTGTTGCATGAGCCTACAACAAAACATGAAAAGTGATAAGACCCTGCGTACTAATTCAAGTTGAAATACAGGCTAATGCACGACCTAAACTTGTTTTCCCCCCTAATTTGTATCAATGAAAGATCAAGTCAGTACTAGCAAACCTAAAAACTAATTGGTTCTATACACCAAGAGTAATTACACAATAAAATACCAACCAGCGACACTAATTATTGGGAAAAGAAACACGTATAAGACATTTGCTCTGTAACAATTACAGAGTCACTTCAATGACCTGTCAAGGACAAATTTTAAAATTAATTCGTGTATTGTTTTTACTCATAAAATTTGAACATTTTAATACTCATTGCAAATAAAGGTCAACGGTTATTTACATGTTAATACAATTTTTGTGCTTTATTTTACTCTAATAGTAGTCAAAACACAACAGGCTACATTTTTTTGAGACATTAAAAATACGAGCAATGCCATCATAAATAAACAAGAATACTTTATTCAAATTATGTCAGAAAAAGGAGACACATGCTTAAAATAATTTCTAAATAGCATTTTAATCACTATAAACTAAACTAATTAAAACTAAAGGGGCACCTGAGTGGCTCAGTCATTTGAGCATCTGACTCCTGACTTCAACTCAGGTCATGATCCCAGGGTCATGGGATGGAGCCCCACATTGGGCTGTGTGCTGAGCATGGAGCCTGTTTGGGATTTTCTCTCTCTCTCTCTCTGAACTTCTGCCCCTCTCCCCTGCTTGTGCTCTTTCTCTATAAAATAAAAACTAGTTAAAAAAAAAAAACAAACTAAGTAAAAAACTGCCTAAACCTGCTCCATGTAACTCAATTCTTACCTTTTCTAATTCTTGGCTGTTAATTTCATGTAACCAGCTGAGATGTTCATGAGCTTGCAAAAAATTTGCCAACTCTCCATGCTGAGAAATGGGTTGAGATAATAATTTGCCTCGCTTTCCTTTCTCCAGATACCAACGGAAGAGAAAGTCTGAAAAATTCTACAAATAAAAGAGCAAAGAATCGAACAATATTTATTAATACAGTTTTAAAAAGTATATTTCTGATAATAAAACGTTAATATTTTTTTCAAAGGTCTTAGATTCCAGAACAGAGATCCTGTTTAAACATTTATTTTCTATATACTAGGATCCTCAAAAAAAAAAACCCTTAACTTAGTTTAACAAAAGAGGAATGCAGATTCAGAAAGGGGATCTTGCTTAAGATCATGTAAACTCTAGATATGCGTGGTATGGTTTGACAGCCATTAGCTATGTACAGCTGTTTAAACGTAGTTAAAATGTTAAAATTCAGTTCCTCAGTCACACTAATCACATCAGGTGCTCAACGTGCCCCATGTCCTATCTTAGAAAACACACAGGAAAGTTCTATGCAACACTGCAGAATGAAAGATTCCCAGGGGTCAAATTCTTTTTTTAATGTTTATCCATTTTTTTTGAGAAAGAGAAAAAGAGACAGAGCATGAGCAGGGGAGGGGCAGAAAGAGAGGGAGACACAGAGTCTGAAGCAGGCTCCAGGCTCTGAGCTGTCAGCATAGAACCCGATGCAGGGCTCAAACCCACGAATTGTGAGATCATGACCTGAGCCCAAGTTGGACGTTTAACTGACTGAGCCACCCAGGCGCTGCCTCCACACCTCCAGGGGTTCAATTCTGTGCCAGAAGGCCATGTGCACTGGAATGATAAACAGGATTCTAGAGAGGGTCTAAATGCCTAGCCAGTTTTCCCCACCTGATGTTTGCCGGATGCTGGGGTAGCATGGAAGGCTAGGCTGGAAGGGAAGATTAAAATGTCCTACAGTCACACAGTATTTAAGAGGTATTTCCACTAAAGGAAATTCTGCCATGAACACACCAGTCCCACAAGACTTTGAAACCAGAAATGAAATGAATGTAACAAAAGCCTCAACCAAATCTTGGCCCACCTCTGTTCTTGATGAACTGAGTGACCTACCTCTCACTTTATCTGCCTCTCAGGAGAAAAAAAACCAAACATTATTTTCATCTTTAAGGTTCCTTTACACACAATATCCAAAATACAACAAGAAATTCGTAAGACATAATAAGCAGAAAAACATGACCAAGAAGTAGGCAAGAGAAACAAATCTGAGGATGATCAGATTTTAGAGGTAGTACAGAAGGATTTTTTAAAGAACTACTGAACATATTAAAGAAAATAAAAGAAAGAAAAAATGGATGAAAAATGTTAACAAAGAACTAGAATCCACAAAAGAATAGAAATCATGATGGATGCAGAAATATTTACTTTAGTGCTATCGTGAAATACTAAATAAGCCATGTCAAACAATCAGGCCCTGATCAAATAAGGCAAGTTACATCCAGGCCATGAAATACCACGATACCATCAAAACATTGTGAAATATTTAATGATATCAGGACAAATGTTTGTGATTAGCAACTGGCAAAACATATTTGTCCACAATAATATGGCGTGAAAAGATTAGAACAACATAAACCAAATGTTACAAAGGGTTCTTCCTCTCTGGGTAGTGAAATTTTGAATGATTCTTAAAATCTTTCCGGTTTATAGGGGCTTTCTGAATTTTATACTGTGTTCACTTTTATAGTAAGAAAAAAGTCAGTGCTTACTTGACAATCAACTAGCTTAAATTCACCTAGAGAGTGTCATAATGAAAAGTTTTTTGAAAAATAAAAAGCATGTGGTCCACCTGGGTGGCTCAGTCGGTTAAGCATCCGACTTCGGCTCAGGTCATGATCTCATGGTTCATGAGTTCAAGCCCCGCATCAGGCTGTGTGCTGACAGCTCAGAGCCTGAAGCCTGCTTCAGATTCTGTGTCTCCTTCTCTCTCTCTGCCCCTTCTCTGCTCATGCTCTTTCTCTCTCTCTCCCTCAAAAATAAATAAACATTTAAAAAAAAAATTAGAAAAAAAAAAAAAAGAAGCATGATGTCAAAGAAGGAGAAAACAAATCTTTGGTGTATGGAAAACTGAGTTCTCTAAAAGCTGCAGCATCCTGTGCTCCTAAGATCTTCTTTTCAAATTTTAAAAATTCTCTCAATTTTCATATACCTAAGTACTTTTAATTATGACTGGAAATATGAATAGAAATGAAAATTTTAACTTATTCGTCAAAGGTCACAGAACCTTTCAACAATATTTGGAATCATCTGCCAATTTACAAAGAAACCTAATGCACAAATTAGTATATAAGCTAACTACAAAACGACTATATATCATCTTCCAACAAAACACCCAAGTAAGATTTGAAACGAGGGCGCCTGGGTGGCTCAGTCAGTTAAGCGTCTGACTCTTGGTTTCTGCTCATGTCATGATCTCACGGTTCATGAATTCAAGCCCTGCCCGCATCAGGCTCTGCACTGACAGTTCCGAGTCTGCTTGGACTTCTCTCTCTCCTTCTCTCTCTACCCCTCTCCCCACACGTGCTCTCTCTCTCTCTGTCTCGAATAAACATAAAAAAAAAAAAAAAAAGATTTGAAATGGTAAAACCTTACAACAGCATCAATTTCCTATGTCCCCAACACTCGTTACCTGATCAGCAAACTGGGTCATGTAGCGCTGGAGTCTAGTCTGGTTGTCAGTCTGCTCACACATTTGCACTAAGATATCAAAGTCACAGTACTTTTCTGCTAATGAAGCAGCCCACGGGTATTGGCCTAGTGTGACTGTAGAAATGAGAACAGATGGAAAAATTTCTGTTAGTGAAAACTTATGTGATAAAAAGTATTACTTGAAACTTTACCTTTAATTCATATTATATTCTAAAAAATAACAGAATAGAAACCTTTCCACTTACTGGCATTTAGTTTCATAATCCTTATAAACTCATGAGAGAGGCAAATTTAATCCCCTGCTTCATCACTGCCTACCCATGATGCTAGTCCCTTCCTTGGTATACTAGCAAAACGAGCTACTTCTCCTAACTCTAGCTATCAAAATGATGTGTCCTTTGCCGAACAGCCACACTGTTCCATCTGTACCCTCTAACCGCCCTCATCGTGCTCTACTGTGCAGTCGACTTATTCATGTAAAAGTCTGAGATAAGCTCTTTGAGCACAGTCTCGAGTTGTTTTTAATTTATTCATTTTCAAATCATCTTCAGCACCATCTATGGTACTCGTACCTGGAAAGGTGTGAAGACAAGGTCGAACAAATGAATGAATGCAGAAAGCTGTACATACATGCTTTGCTTTACGTTCTCGGTTACAGTTAGATTAATGATATTACACTGAATATGCTACATTAGCGATTGGACTCCGTCACCCGTTCCGCCACGTCAAAGACCCATAGTCATTGCTAAATATCATGCACTTACGAAGTGGAGATAGGAGATCTGATCTTTTCTGTAGGTATTCCATTTCCAGACTGCTGTATCTTTCTTGATCACCAGATTTGTCCAGAGACTTAAGCTGGGAAACGTAACCATCCAGGAAGCAATCAATCAGTGCTACCAGCTGCTCTGTCAGAATGTTTCGGAGGTTGCTGTCTGCCTGAGGATATACCACTTTCAGGACAATCCCATGCTGGCGCACGATTACTGTTCGGATGCCCCCAGGACCACTCGTTGCTATGAAATCACATAAAGTAATATGGTAAGTACGGGTTCTACAATGGCTAGGGGAAAGACCAACTGCCTAAAAACTATCATGTCACCGCTGCTGGAAAAATAAACCAAATAGGGGTTCAGCTGACCCCTCTCTATGTCCTGCTTAAATCCCATCTTCTCTATGGAGACTTCAACACAGCCAGGTGAACATGATCCTCTCCCTTCTAAATTCCTTCAGTGCTAACTCCACTTACTTTCTTGTATTAAATCAACATTAACTATTGTCAATACCTCTAAGGCCAGGACCTCCTTCTTTGAATAACCATATGCACTAAAATCTAGTAGACAAAGGGCGCCTGGCTGGCTTAGTAGAGCATGTGACTCTTGATCTCAGGATCGTGAATTCAAGCACCACGTCAGGGGTAGAGATTACTGAAATTTTTTTTTTTTTTTTTAAATCTAGTGGACGCATAATAAGTATCAGTTACATAAATTACAGACAAATCTACAAATTATTCTAAGAGAATAAGGCAATTTTCACAAGAATTACTCATTCTGGAGGTGGCACTTATTTTTCATTTCACTCACAAACCCACACTAATGGAATAATACAGCTTCCAGAAACGACAGGCCATTAGAAATATATTTTGAACGACTGCTAATAATAAACCAGTACATTTGCACTCAGAGCTTGCAATCTCACCTGTCCAAGGAACATACTCAGGTTCTTGTTCTACCGGCTCTTTTCTATATAAGGAGTTTCTATTCTGTCGATAATGACAGGCAGCTTGTAGCATGTCCTAGAAAAAAATGCATCAGCATATGCAGAAAGTGAGGAGTCCCAGTATTTTTAAAGATAATTTGAAACATCAAAGTCTATTAATACTAAAAAAATACTCAGCTCAAGTCTGTAAGAATTACTCTTTTGGTTCTTTCTGCATTTGAAATTTGTTTTACTCCATAACTTAACTTTAATTTTGGAAAACTTACTAACCAAACTAGGAAAACCATTGCTATAAAGAACATTATCTAAGATTAAATGGAACATTTTAATCAATAATGTAACTATTAAGTTCTTGAGTAATTAAGACACTTAGTTACTATAACATTAATACATTTGCCATGATATATGTATCTTTCTCCAGATAAAAGGTTATTATTTTATTATAATCCAGAACCCAGCATTATAGAAACTTTTAATATGCATAAGACATTCAAAATGCTTGATAAATAAAACGACTGTACTTTTCTAAATTTTTTGAATTAAATGCTAAACACTTTTAAATTACTGGCAATACAGAGTTGGAATATGGAAACCACTTTCTCTTCCAGCCACACTCCGGTCTTTGATTTGCTGAAATCTTCACCGTGGTTTTGTACCTTGAGAATACTGTTCACATTGATCACCACTTCAGCCCATTCAACAGATTCCAAAGATGTTTCCTTTAAGACCAGCTCCTCATGCTCCAGTAAACACTCGCAAATGGTGTCTACCTGCGACACCTGAGGGAGTACAGAGAAGGCAACTACTTTTAACAAAAACCATGGCGATGGGTAATAATCACAACTGCCCAGAATCTACTCAACGGGCTTTTCTCATAAAGTCATATTCTTAGCTCATTACTCAGAATAAAACAGTTGATGGCAAAAAATACATTTAAAAAGAAGTAGGGAGAGAAAATACTGTGCAAGGGATCCTTGAGCAACACAGGTTTGAAATGCGTGGGTCTGCTTACATGTAGATGTTTTTCGATACCTTACAGTACTATAAATTTATTTTTTCTTCTTCAGGATTTTTTTAAAAACATTTTGACTGCATGGGGGGTCGGGCACCCTTAACCCTCACATTGTTCAAGGGTCAATTATATAATTTCTAACTGTTCTTTTCTAATTTTTGTCATTACTAACACACGGAGGTAACGGTGCAAAACTGTTCTTAAAGCACTGAAACCCTTGTTTCCAGTTTCAGCCCACAGTTAAACTTTCCCTACCTTACTACTTAATACACCTAGAGTTTGCATAGCATTGGGCACTCAGAGATGAGGAAAAACAGAAATCAGGTTTGCTGCCCTTAAGTATACAAACTAGTTGAAGGAGCAAGACCTATACACAAACCGTGGCCCAAACACAATCATTGTCTTTTAAACCCTGTTCTGCCTTCTCAGATGTTAGTCAAAGGCACATTAACAGCCCTAGCAAGAGACTTTTGGCTCATTTCATTTAAAAGATTAACTGTAAGAATTTTTTTAGGGTGCAATATTTACTTATTTAATTCATGTTTGTTTGCTTATTTATTTTGAGAGAGAGAGGTAGAGCAAGCAGGACAGAGAGAGAATCCCAAGTAAGCTCTGCACTGCCAGGGCAGAGCCCGATGACGAGCTTGAACTCACGAACTATGAGATCATGACCTGAGCTGAAATCAAGAGTCAGATGCTTAACTGACTAAGCCACCCAGGTGCCCCAAACTTAAGAATTTTTTTTAATACTGTTAACGTGAAAACGATAGGGAAAGCATATATGATATGACATATGATATGATATATGATATGATATGATAGCAAAAAATTATTGTCAAAACATTTGCTCAACACCTTTATGATAGGAGTTACATACTCAGCGGTCTCAAATTCTGTTCATATGCTAACCTGAAAGTCTGACCCTTAAACAGTTACCTCTGCTTTAATGGAACCCTGGGATTCAGAACTACACCCAAAGGAAGCTTAAGGCCAGTAAACGTCATAGTCTTAAACATTATCATTTCCCATATGGAGTGTTCTTTTGAAAAACCTATCACGTTTTTGGTTTTGTCCTATGCTATTCCTAACGTACTATTCCTGAATTATGTATCCAACTGATAATCCTTTCTGATTTCCAAATCATTCCTTTTTTTTCCAGTTATCTGGAAAATATATACTGAATTAACTAGTATGCTTTCCACTTTGATCCGAATGCAGAAAAAAGAACACGACTCTTAATTCTTTCAAATAATTTGTGAATTTTTTAAAATAAACTTTGTTTTGCTGTATAAAATTAAGTATGAACAAAGACAAAAAAAAAAGACACAAAAGTTACAACAAACACTTTGCAAAAGCAACCTATATGCCTTAAGGGTCCTATCTTTTTCCCTTCAAAACCCCAACATCCTCTCAAAGCTGAGGCCTTGTGAGGCTTACGACCCATTTCTGAATTTCCTTCCTCAAATGTATTAAAACCTACTAACTCTCCTTATAATACTCCAGTCCCTCCATTCCAAAAGCCGGATGGTTCTTACAGACTAGTTCAGGATCTCAGAATTACCTGAGGCCGCTGGCCCCAATCCATGTACCCTCCTCTCCACCACGCCATCCTCCACCATGTGCTTCACGGACTTGGATCTTAAGAACACATTCTTCACTATTCCCATCTCCTCAGAATTCCAAGACCTTTCACCTCCACCTAGACTGACCCCAACACCCACACTCCCAACAGTTAACTTGGACAGCTCTCCAGCAGGGTTTTAGGGATAGACCCCAACTCTTTGGACAAGCTCTGGCATCAGATCTAACCTCTCCCTCCCAAAAAGTACTCTTTTTCACAATGGCCAGCATCTTCCTCTTTTCTCCCTCCAAAGTTTACAGCAGGTTTTTCTTTTCCTTTGAAAATAAATTGATTTTAACAGCAAGGTAATAGTAGGATCCTAGCAGGCGCCTGAAAAGAGTTTAGTGAAGGGACGGTTGGCAGAGGAAGGGGATCTGCAGAGGAAGGGGCGGCACCCAGGGCTAGCGACAGGGAAGCCACCACTAAGCCCAGCTGTGAAGGGGCACCGGGAAGCAGCAGTTACTGGGAACGCGGAGAGCAGCCAGAGGGAAGCCGCAGTCTCTGACAGAAGGCACAGCAAACTGCAGTGGAAGCAGGGAGGGAATGAGGCTGGGGGGAGGGGGGCATGACAGAACAGAGAATAACAGTGCCTCACCTCTGTTAAAGGCAACAAGAAGCCACAGGGCAAAGGAACCCACTGGCGAAGGTGCCCTCTGAGGCAGAGTCGAGTGGATTTGGAGAGACAAAAGGAAAACACCCAGCAGACAGTAGGGAAGACTTCTTAGTCAAGTTTGCAAGCTCTGATTTGTAGGGAAAGTGACGAATAAATATGGAGTCCTATTTAAAATTTCAATGAGATTTTTTTTTGGCCTCAAGCTTTTTCTCTGTTGGGGGCATGATCGGCCAAGGGCCCAGCTCTACAAAGCCACATTAAGGGCAAAATAACAACTCTTACTTCTCTAAAAAAGACGTCTGCGGGGGTCAGGTTGGATGGGATTTCGCAGTCCCTCTTATTTAAAGCAATCATTATTGCTGTGTTCACGAGCTCAGAGAGCCTCGAGTGGTAGTTCTTGAGAACGATGGCGGCTGATAACTTTTCGGCATGCTCACAGAGCAACAGGCGAGTTGCCATGGGCATCCCTCGAACTGCAAAAGTGCCAAGACGTCCAAATAAGCCAACCTGGTGAAACACAAACACATGTTCTTAGAAAGCATTTACAGTAACGTACAAAGTAATGCAGTCTTATCTCCCCCAGAAGCACACTGGGTACAGAGCCACTGGCCTCATCTGCCCCCAAAAAAGTACCTCAGCTACCTCTCCTTTTTGCTGTTTTGAACATGAACACGCACACACACACACACACACACACACACACACACACCCACCCACCCCCTTCAGCCAGAGCTGTGAGCACCTATAAGAAAGGGCAGATGGTGGGGCGCCTGGGTGGCGCAGTCGGTTAAGCGTCCGACTTCAGCCAGGTCACGATCTCGCGGTCCGTGAGTTCGAGCCCCGCATCGGGCTCTGGGCTGATGGCTCAGAGCCTGGAGCCTGTTTCCGGTTCTGTGTCTCCCTCTCTCTCTGCCCCTCGCCCGTTCATGCTCTGTCTCTCTCTGTCCCAAAAATAAATAAACGTTGAAAAAAAAAAAAATTTAAAAAAGAAAGGGCAGATGGTTCCTCTTCTGAGATCAGGGCCATTCCATCACTCCATCTTATTTCTTACTTATGGTTATGAAAATCGTAAAATTGTTCTTTTCTACATAACTTCCCTACATTCAAGATCCTCAGGAACTAGACACTCAGCAGTTTCCATCTTCAGCACCTGATTCCCAGAACCTTAAAGCCATGGGGAGGGTGGGAGAGTCTTTAATCCTTTGCACTATCTACCTCTGGTCTGCCTGATGCCTGTTTCAGGCGTTGCTAGGTTCCAGGACTTCTAAGCTTTCTCATTTGATGAAGCGTTACATCCCAACTAGGAAGCCAAGAGACATCTAAATACTGAATACTCTTCCACATTTTAAGTGTGATCTATTTCATTAACAAAGTGACTTGGTTTTTATATGCTGAGGTTTATTTTAAATAAAGTGCAAAGAAAACAAAAATAAACAGTAACCCAAATCCCCAGGGAATTCCTATGGACAGAAGCGATGAATGCACATGGTTAAGAAAAAAAATTTTTGGGGGGTGCCTGGGTGGCTCAGTCGGTTAAGCGTCCAACTTCGGTTCAGGTCATGATCTCACGGCTTGTGAGTTTGAGCCCCGTGTCGGGCTCTGTGCTGACAGCTCAGAGCCTGGAGCCTCTTCAGATTCTGTGTCTTTCTCTCTCTCTCTGCCCCTCCCCCGCTCACACTCTGCCTCTCAAAAATAAACATTAAAAAAAATTTTTGTTTTAAGAAAAGAAAAAAAATTAAGAAAAAGAAAAAAAAATGTTTTTCTGAATTAGATTTATTACAACGAGCTCAAGAAAACAATGAGGAATCTACCTTTTGCTAAATGGTTTTCTGCAAATGCCCCATGAGGTTAGTCGTCTTCTTTTTTTTTTTAAAGTATAAAGACAGCCCTGCAGTGTGTAAAAGGAAACCCAGGGCGGAAGGCTGCTTCCCACAAAATAGAATCATTTAGGAACATCAGCAGTCAAGACAAGAAGAACAAGAGGTAATTACAGTGAAAAGCCAAAACAACTTGTGTCTTGGCAAGACTTGGTTTTGTAAACAAACTTGGTTTACAAGTGCATGTCAAGGGGTGCCTGGGTGGCTCGGTCAGTTAAGCATCGGACTTCAGTTCAGGTCATGATCTCGCCGATCCGGAGTTCGAGCCCCGCGTCAGGCTCTGTGCTGACAGCTCAGAGCCTGGAGCCTGTTTCAGATTCTATGCCTCTCTCTGTCCACCCCTCCCCTGCTTGCACTCTGTCTCTGTCTCTCTCTCTCTCTCTCAAAAATAAACATTAAAAAATGTTTTTAAAAACACAAAAACAAGCACACGTCAAGAACAAACACTCCAACATCAGCCAACTGCAAACAAAAGATAAAAGATGACATTCACGCGTCTTTTTCCTTTTTCTCTGTGTAAAAATGCTCTTTCCCTTTTTCTAAATGAGAGAAGATGGTTTCTCCACTGGGAATGACCGTGGAAATGCTGTGTGTCCAGCGTGCTGCCGGCATTTCTCACTGCCTGCCTCTGCGAGCAGAGAACCTGGGCAACGAGAGGACGGACAGGACCTCTCTTGGCTGGAGAACCATTTCTTGCCACTTTGCTGCCAAATTCACTCATTAAACTGCTTAAAGAAAAGCCACACCCTGACTTCTGAGAACGTACAGCAATCATACATAAAGACACATCGACTAAGAGGACAGCACACAAGAACCCTTCCTTCAGAGAATGCAACCAAAAGAGAGTGGGTGTGATAAACCAGGGCCATAAGGAAGAATACTGTAGGTTGGACCTCAAGGCTCTCAGGAACATTCTCTACCATCCCAAATGAATAGCAAAGTCAGGAAAGAGGGCGTGAGGCTCTAACCCATGGAAGAGAACAATACAAAATATTTAACAAAGGGTTCTCTTCCCAACACGCTCCTCCCCTCGAGGCTCAACTAACAGCGCGGGTGTGGGTCACCACCCCGGAAATCTCTCCACCACACTGTCCACGGTGAAAGCAGAGAGCCTGACTTGCACATGGTTAGGAAACTTAATAGCGTGGACAGGTACAAGTCCCCCGCCCATTCCCTACTGGACCTGCAGTTGTTTCCTTCAGATCTTTATATGCTTTTGTGGCATTTCTACACTGGAAGACATTTTGGTTTCTGTAACACAAAGGAGTCACATTATATATGTTGTTCAGCACCTTGTTTTGCTTTTTAGTTTTTTTAAAATGTTTGTTTATTTTTGAGAGACACACACAAGAGTACAAGTGGGGGAGGGGCAGACAGAGAGGGAGACACAGAATCTGA